GGACCCAACTCACGCGGTGGAGCGGTGAAGCACAGCACAGGGACCCAACTCACGCGGTGGAGCGGTGAAGCACAGCACAGGGACCCAACTCACGCGGTGGAGCGGTGAAGCACAGCACAGGGACCCAACTCACGCGGTGGAGCGGTGAAGCACAGCACAGGGACCCAACTCACGCGGTGGAGCGGTGAAGCACAGCACAGGGACGCTGGGAGCCCCCACACCTCTGGCGGTAGCGGCGGCGACGCTGACCCTGTAGCGACCACCCTCTGCCAGGGACACCAGTCTTGCCGTCGTGCCCTCCGTTACCACCAGCACTCCTGCTGCCGACACCGCACTGCTGCTGCTGCTGCTGCTGCTGCTGCTGATGTTGTTCTTGTTGCTGTTATTCCTTTCGTTAAGCTTGTTGTCTGTGCCGCTGCTGATTGTGTGAGTGTTGATGTTTTCACTGTTGTACGTCCCAATTGCAGCAGGCGATCTGAGCATATCAAAAGAAAGTAAGATACTTACAACAGAATTTTGACTGAACGTGAGAGAAAGAATATGAAACAAAAATTTTACCGTAATTTATTTAACATAATACTCATATTTGTACAGAAAAATTTTCGTTCGCTGAAAATTTGAAATTGTTTTTTACTTCAAGGAAACAACTTGAGCACGCTTCATGTTGGGAACTCATGAATTTTCTCGTTGCTATTTATCTGATTAATTGTAACGAACTTGGTAGGTATGCTGGACGGAACAAATGTTTACCTGCTGTCACCGTATGGGTTTCGTACAGTCTGCCCACGGTGAGCTTGCAGAGCGGAATACTGGGCAAGAAACTCGCCATTTTCAAAGAGCGGACACTTTTCGTACGAGGCCGTGCCTGACAAAAAGTGCGTTCAACCATTTTGATTTTTTATGTATCTTGCTTATGCGTAGTATATTATATAGTGTATTTTGCCTAATTGTTAGTTTAAATACAAGGTTTTGTGTACGGGCGGCTTGATTATAGGTTTGAATACAAGGTTGCTGAGCTGCATCGAGAACGATATTATCTATCGTTTGTTAGGCGGGTGTTATTTAACGCTAGGAAATATAATTGTGATTTAAAGATAGGTATAACACTACTCCAAATGAAGAAGAATGCAAGTTATCAGCATTTATTGAGAACAATAATAATACTCGGGATGTATAAAAAGGAGATAGTGATATTTCGTAAACATAGTACGTACTAACTGCAACGTACCAGAGCCCAAGAGTCGCTGGTACGCAACCCTGTAGTTGACGATGATACCGTTCGTCACGTCTTCGTCTGGAGGCGACCACGACACCACGATCGTGGAGGACGTCACGCCACGACACACAACCTCTACAGGAGGTCCTGAAGGAGCTGACCAAAGTATTGGAGATTCTTGTCAAATCGTGCCTAGATTATATTTACTATAAAGGTCATGTAGTTATTTCTCTAATCTATGTTGCAACTGATAATTTCATAAACTTACAAGAAAGAAAGGAGCTTTTCCACCCTGTTCTGGTAATAATAAACTAAAATAGAACATGGCGCTCGAAATAAATTTAATAATCTTAACGACCAACAAGTTCACATAATAAAATATTTACACAGCCCCTTCCATGAAGTAGATCGCAAATTTAATGATAATAATTTTTCATCACCTCTGAAAAATTAAATATGAATCAAGTAATGTGTTATTTGCACTATCTGCAACGTTACAAATCACGCATTGCGACCGTTCTCACAACACTAACAGCAACAACAGTTCGTTGTACCCAATAAAAATTAACCACCACAACAGAATGTAACTTTTAACGAATGTACAGATTGTAACTCGTCTACACTCACAATCTTCATCGGTGGTGAAAGTAACTTCTGGAGCAGCAGGACCGACACCTTGCGAGTTGCCTGCGCGCACCGACACCGAGTACCGCCTTGCAGGCTGAAGGTTGGACGCTACAACTTAAACTATTAATGAATGTACCGCAATGTAACTCGTCTACACTCACAATCTTCATCGGTGGTGAAAGAAACTTCTGGAGCAGCAGGACCGACACCTTGCGAGTTGCCTGCGCGCACCGACACAGAGTACCGCCTTGCAGGCTGCAGGTTGGACACCACAACTTCCGACCTGCGGTCTGCACTCGAAGTGATCACTTTTATCGTCGGCCCCCGTCGCGATTTTTCAAGGGTGATCGAAGCCGGTTTTCCGGGTGCGAGGTCTGCAAAAGCTACAAATGACGAAAGAAAAAAGTCAAATTGACAATGGATAAATAACGTTTACTCATCAAGGTACCCAAATCTGTCATGTAAATTTATTAAGATGCAATTATCAAGCAATGCACTTCACTACGCCGATAGTAGCTACTGCAAATGCTCGCTAGCTATAATAATCAATTAAAAGTAATTTCGGAATAAAACATATTACCTTACGCTTATACACAAACATAGCCATTGTTACAACAATGCAAATTACTGCATCACATTAATTTGAAAATAGTTTCAATATTACAATTCGTTTGTATTTGTCCACCGTGTTTTTATGTGGCATATAAGATATTACTTGGGTAACTCTTCACCCACGTCGATTAAGGTAATACGACGAGACGTTGTTGATGTCGACCATCACAACTGGAGGACCAGGGTCCTGATCAGCCGTTGGAACGCCTACACGAAGCCACTCTAGCATCGCAGCCGCGGGGCTGTCACTGTGCATGAAAAAGTTACGAGGGTCATCCAAAAAGTAGTACCAGTTTTGGAATTGAACAAAAAAAAAAGTAAACATTAACAAATGTAAACATGTTCATTGAAAAGAACATGTATTACACTACTTCTCTACATAATCTCCGGACAAATTTTAGCATTTGTCGTATGACCCTAGTAGATAAGTTAACCACGAGGGTGATAAGCTACCACGATGTTTGCTAGTTGATTTGATTTGGTTGTGTAGAAAATGACATCGTTTCTCTGGTCGACAATCAACAAAAATACCTCTCTTCTATTGCCAACCTAATATTATGCGTGCCGTCGAGTGACGCCGAGTGTTCACTGCGAGCCCCAATAATGACGTAATAAATATAAACGTAATAACGCTGGTAGTTCAATAGGTTCGAGTTTTGGTCTACTTATGGGAAGAAAACAGGTGAAGACAACAGCATGCCAGATATAATAAACCCATTCAATTTCATTCATAAGACAAATCTTCAACCTGAACGTATGTTGTACAACAGAACCAAGTTACCGGGTCGCTGAGTATCCAAGGAAGTAAGCAGAGATGCGTCCGTAGCTGAGGTGTTTGGGCGGCGGCGACCAGCTCAGCGTGAGGGTCAGAGGGACAGTAACGAGGGTTTAGAGGGACTGTAACGAGGGTTCAGAGTGACTGTAACGAGGGTTCAGAGGGACTGTAACGAGGGTTCAGAGGGACAGTAACGAGGGTTCAGAGGGACTGTAACGAGGGTTCAGAGGAACTGTAACGAGGGTTCAGAAGGACTGTAACGAGGGTTCAGAGGAACTATAACGAGGGTTCAGAGGAACTATAACGAGGGTTCAGAGGAACTATAACGAGGGTTCCGAGGAATTGTAACGAGGGTTCAGAGAAACTATAACGAGAGTTCAGAGGAATTGTAGCGAGACTACAGAGGAACTATAACGAGGGTTCAGAGGAACTATAACGAGGGTTCAGAGAAAATGTAATGAGTGTTCAGATGAATTAAATTAAAGCAAGGGTTTAGCAGAGCTATATAGGGCAAGTGTTCAGTACTCTTTTGTGTGGTAGCTAACTCCGCATGCGTCGTAGAAATACGAAAGAAAATAACGACATTGGCATATGTGGAAGTAATGTTGCTGGAGATAGAAACATCGTCACAACCAAGATAACCGAAAATGAATCAATATTGACGTGTGTGGTGAAAATAAGTATGTAGAGAAAGAAAAAATAGGTATTTTATAGAGAAAATCTATGTAGTGAAAGTATACCTAGTATTGTATATTTCTGCTGGAAATGTCAGCATGTATGGCAAAAACATCGCTGAGGTTCGATTACATTTATTATTTCTATATTATTTATAACTTCAAACGACACATTCGAAAATTATATACGTTATTACGATTGGGCATCAGTTTGAAATCTTATGGGGGAGTTAGGAGTTTGTTCCGATCTAATTGCGGTGCTTTAGGATTCATACAAAATTTTCTAGGATATGACAAATGAAAGTATTTCGCAGTTATTTAATTCAAGGAAAGAACATGCGGCATAAAAACAAATTGGCAATAGCAGGAAGTTTGCAGGATTTTCTCAAAAGGTTTATAATTAAACCTCTTCTGTTGGTCTACAAAGTAAATGTATTCGTAACGATTACCCTGAGGTGCATGGGATGACCGCCAGGCTTCTCAGGGTCCGTCGTAAAATGAAGAGGAATTGAACCCTCACTGGTCCCGACCCTGTTGGCAGCGGCAACCCTTACGGCGTAGCGGGTTGCCGGCTGTAACTCGGACAGTCGCACGCTCGCCTCCACTGAACGCGTCTCGTTGGAGACACCTGCGACCGGAAGAATTCATGGCCCCATAAAGTAAAAATTGAAATCAGTCAAATTAAAAGATTCTTTCATATCCGGCGAAGAAAAAGAAATCATTGTCAAAAATCTCGATAAATCAAACTGAGCTGAAATAAGCAAAAAAAGAAATCGATAGTATAAAATATACCAACGCAAACTGAACAGTAAAAAAGTTTCTGGTTGTTTTAAATAAAATGTCAATAAGTTTGTTGAATGAAAACCGTGAGTAAAAACATTTTTATAAATTAAAGCATACGCGCATTCTGCGTGTGGGCATAGTAATTATATGATAATTATAGAAATATAAAAAGAAGAAATATGTAACACCACGTAACAACACGTAGATCATCATTAAAGTCGGAATTTCAATTATCATTAAAGTGTGAATAACAATTATGCGGAGCCAAACTACGCGTAAGTCATCATTAAAGTCGGAATAACAATTATGAGCCAAAGAACGAGGTTAAGGAACCCTCGGGAGTGGTGAGGGTGATGACGTAGGAGGTGACCAGCGCTGAAGGGGAGGCGAGGGCGCTGGAGTCCTCCCACTTGAGGGAGACGGACCGCGGGCCGCTGCCCACCACGCGCAGCCCCACGGGCACGGCGGGCACGTCTGCCAACACAATTTATGTCAAACATCAATAATAATATGGGATGACCGCCAGGCTTTTCCGGGTCCGTCGTAAAATGAAGAGGAATTGAACCCTCACTGGTCCCGACCCTGTTGGCAGCGGCAACCCTTACGGCGTAGCGGGTTGCCGGCTGTAACTCGGACAGTCGCACGCTCGCCTCCACTGAACGCGTCTCGTTGGAGACACCTGCGACCGGAAGAATTTATGTCCCGATAAAGTAAAAATTTAAATAAGTCAAATTTGAAAATCCTTTCATATCCCGTGAAGGAATAGAAATCATTGTAAAAAATTTTCGATAAATCAAACTAAGCTGAAATAAGCACGAAAAGAAATCGAGAATACAAAATATACCAATGCAAAATGAACAGTAGTGAACAGTAAACAATTTTCTTATTGTTTTCAAATAAAATGACAATAAACTTTTTTAAATTAAAAATCATAACAGAACCCACGTAATGAATGCATGGTGAGTAAAAACATTTTTATAAATTGACGTACAGCAGCATTTTACGTGTGCATGGACATGGTTATTATATGATAATTAGGTAAATATTAATAGAAGAAATATGTAACAACACGTAAGTCGACATTAAATTCGCATAACAATCATTAATTTTAAAGTCGGAATAACAATTATGCAGAGCCAAGTAACGAGGTCAACGAACCCTCGAGAGTGGTGAGAGTGATGACGTAGGAGGTGACCAGCGCTGAAGGGGAGGCGAGGGCGCTGGAGTCCTCCCACTTGAGGGAGACGGACCGCGGGCCGCTGCCCACCACGCGCAGCCCCACGGGCACGGCGGGCACGTCTGCCAACACAATTTATGTCAAACATCAATAATAATTAAAATAAACTAATAATAATAATTATAATATAATAATAAGTATAATAATATGATGATGTTATAATCAAATAATTGGAATATACTACAACAAAATGCAATTGAAAACTACTGAAACATTCGGGTATTAGGCATTATGTCTGCATTAAATGAACGCAGAACAGTGAACAGTCTTCATCAATTATTAATGTGATGTCCTTAAGGACCAAGTGAGCCAAAAAATGCAACGAGATGTACAGTATTCATCAATTATTAATGTGATGGCCTTAAGGACCAAGTGAGCCAAAAAATGCAACGAGATGTCGCGCTCATACCGAGCACCCGGAGTGTGAAGTCCGCAGAGCGCGAGCCGTGAGCGTTGGTCGCCTGGCACGTGAGCACCGCAGAGTCTGCGGCCGCAGCGTCGCGCAGCACCAGCAGCAGCACCTGCTCTGTCNGTGATGGCCTTAAGGACCAAGTGAGCCTTAAAATGCAACGAGATGTCGCGCTCATACCGAGCACCCGGAGTGTGAAGTCCGCAGAGCGCGAGCCGTGAGCGTTGGTCGCCTGGCACGTGAGCACCGCAGAGTCTGCGGCCGCAGCGTCGCGCAGCACCAGCAGCAGAACCTGCTCTGTCTCTGAAGACTTCACTCCGCGCTCAGTTGTGAACCTCGACATGAAAATGTATGTTATAAAGAGGTTAGTTACAGAGACTGACAGCGGTCAGTTACAGAGACTGACAGGGGTCAGTTACAGAGACTGACAGGGGTCAGTTACAGAGACTGACAGGGGTCAGTTACAGAGACTGACAGCGGTCAGTTACAGAGACTGACAGGGGTCAGTTACAGAGACTGACAGGAGTCAGTCACAGAAAAAAGTCACTCAGTTCACTTGGCGAGTTCAAGCTCGAGCAATAGTTCGAAACACAGTGTAATATTCCATTCTCTCTAAAGGTAAAATACAGACTCCATGTTGAGAATATTGACACGAAAATATACATGAATCAGTCAAAGATATCAGGCATTCATTCTAAAGGCACCAGCCTACGTTGTGTTGTCAATATCAGTGGATCTTTGAAAGAGTCGTTATACATGGACAATTTTAGGTCCTAAGTTCGATGACACTAAGCGAGGGCTTGGTTTATATTTTTAAAAGACGTTTTTATAAGAAGACACTATACGTACGTCGTCGTAACCGTTTCTATGTGTTTATAGTGAATTCTTTAACTTCAAAACACATTGGGTTTATCAGTTGTCCATATTTATCGCTGCGAGCGAGAAATAAGTAATTGTGTGCGTATTGAAAGACATTGCACGATATGTTCATAGTTATAATATTCTATCTATTTACAATCAGTAAAAGTACAATATGCATTTATACATTTATTTTATTAGAAAAATACATTAACATCAACTTTTTACACCGTCAACAGCTAAATTGAAAATGAAACAGGAGAACCATTCTATGAATCTATCCTATAAAACCCCAATATCCAAAAACTATGCGCAATAATATACAAAATTAATGGTACCTCGGGTTGGCGATCAGTGACGTTGGAAGCCAGGTGAGGGACAATGGGGCGTCACCCCTTGCCCGACATGTGAGGGTGACAGACTCCCCCACCTGACCCTCTACCTCCCACTCTTGGTCGGGGAACCATGGGGGCTCTGAAGAAATACGATATATTTAATATGTTACCTGCCTCTAGGACACGGCATTACATGAATAGCTGTTTATTGCATTAATTTTTACGGCAAGCTCAATTTAAATTGAACATTCACAAATAAAACATCGATAACAGTTGATAAGTCACTCAGTCTTCAACACTTAGTCGCATTACACGGCATTACATGAATAGTTGTTTATTGTATTCAGTTATATGACACGTTTTCTTTGCTTTTAAATTCCTTGTGAACTTGCGATATAAGCAGACTAATGATATAAGTACTTAATTTCATTGTATGTCTGAATAATAATAATACATCTCTTCCCACGAACTTGACATGAAATCAGTATTATAGTTACAAAAAGCAAAGTGACGTGGAATCTTAAGGACAGATATATATGGAAAGTACTATTCAAAGCGTAAATTTGTGCATAATAAAAACAAATCGGCAATTGTTTCTCGAATCACATGTTCGAAACAATACTGACGGATGCTATGATGGACAGAAGATTACACACAAATGTTCATGCAGTGCTTTCATTTAGTAAGAATTGCAATTGCAGACGTAAACAAATCGGCAATTGTTTCTCGAATCACATGTTCGAAACAATACTGACGGATGCGATGATGGACAGAAAATTACACACA